TCTTTCTAGTCTTTGAGTTTGGAAATAGGATTCCCTTGACACAAGAATTTTAAAATAAATGCCAATAAAATTGTGAATAATCTGGTAAGACGTTTATACTAAATTTATTTTTATTCTTTATGTTATCCAATGTTATACAATATGTATCATGCATTTACACTCAACAGTGATTTAAAAAATGTTTTTATATTCCATTTTCCAACATATGAAATGATGATAATGACTTGTGATGAGTCAAAAATGCCTTTATTAATAAAAGCTAGTTAGAAGAAGTCCCTTTTATTTTATGTCTCAATTAAACACTTTGCAAGATGTCTTCATCTCATCTTCAGATCACTTCAAATTGAATACTGGAATGTATTCAAATTTGTAATATTATAAGTTGTTCCCCATTTTCAACAGTGGCGTGCCGTCATTAGAAGTGGTGGATACGCCGCTTCCCTTGTATTTTCTAAAAAATAAATACATATTAATTTTAATTATATGAAAATAATTGCACAATATTTTATTATAACCACATTATGTATCTTATTACAAATTTCTCTACTACATGTGAAAAAAAAGATAAGATTGCTATTGTATATTCAAATATTAGTGGCGGAGTAGTGGAGTGGAAACGCTGTATTGTCAGCATCCAAAAAGCCAGATTCACGCATGCGCTTTACAGAGCACCAACCTCACCCGGTTTAGCTGGTGAAAGCCTAGGACCTCGGGTTGCTGCTGCACGTATAATGCATCCAATTCTATCCAGGACCGGTTCCGAGCTGTTAGCCACCTGCCTGCTAGATATTTGGCCGCCCTCGGCCGATTACGTGAATCATGAGTAGATTTATAACTTAACCCAATCGATAAGAATTTACATGTATGTTTTTATGATAGTTTTCTGTATAGTTGACAGGAGTTTAAAAAAAATCCATTAAAATATTTGATATATTTATTCCTGTTAAATATATCACTGTTGCAAGTTATGTGTTCACAGATAGTGAGTAGGATACCTTACAAGTAAGTTTAAAAAATCATACACGACTACTTTGATCCGTTTCAAGTCATACCGAACCAAAAAGTNAAATTCAACGCAAAGCGACACGCAACGGAGAAAAATTTCAACACAGGATAAATTAATATATTTTTTTGTACATAATTGGTTATCCGAAAAATAAGTTATCCGAACAACCCCAGTCCCCAATTGATTCGGATAAACGACGCTCTACTGTATTTGTAAAATCTAAGTGACATGTACAACATGGAATTCATATAAAACAGAATTATCAACAGTGCCTAGGGGAGGTCGACTGTAAATATTGATTCTGGCTGTGCTTACTGCGGAACCAATTATGTAATGTTGGTTACGACATTAAAAGATAGGTGTGTGTGTGTGTGTGTGTGTGTGTGTGTGTGTGTGTGTGTGTGTGAATATTGATTGTTGTCTTTGTGGTCATAATTAAGTATTTAGTTATCAAAATCTCTCACTCACATATACAGATACTTTATAATTTATGTATGTATTTGTTATTAAATAACACAAATTAAATCACAGCTCAAATGTTATCTTTTAGTATATATTTAGATCTGAAACTTTGCATATTTCATCAGTCCCCTTAACAGAGCACTGGATAAGAGAGTACTCTCCCATGTTCCCTAATTTCTTCCCTATGTTTTACATTAGCAGGACTCCCATTAACAGATCAGATCAGATAACAAAGCAATCTGTTTAAATTAGTGCTGTGTCAGCAGAGCTGGCCCTATCATAGGGCGAATGGAGCAGCCGCTCCAGGCACTAAGTCCTAGGGGGCGCCTCAGTGGTAAAGAAAATTAAAGGGTATAAATTAGGGCAACCAAGAGGGGTGCCATAATAGGATCTCGCTCCATCCTAAAACTTGCCTCAGGCCGGCACTGTGTTTCAGCAGCACTCTCAGAGTGGCTTTCCACACAAAGGAGTAGTATTTTAAAGAAGATTTATAAGGGTCTATCTTTAATCTTACAGTATGTCATTGCCTAGGGCAGAAGGCTTAAGAGTCTCTACACTATGGTTTATATGTGGAAATTTGGCAAAACCTTCCATTGGTCAGTTTTCTATTATATCAAGTCAAAAATTTCTTAAAGAATCATCATAAACAGCTTCTATTGGACCACACATGCAAAGTAATTACATATTAAAAAGATAACATAAAGTAGATATAACAAACAGAATATATTACGTTGTGGTGTGTAGAGAACGAACAATATAATACAAAGTTGTATAAAAATAAAAAAAAAGGTTTTATTATTATTTTTTTTTGTCACTTGGTCCTACGTACACTCGGTTTTTTAGGATCCCAAACTATGTAGTTCCTATATACAAGGTCTGTTCAAAAAGTATCGGACCTTTGGTCGGTAAAAATAAATTTATTGACTTTGAGGTACAAAACCCTAATCCCCTTCAAAGTAGTCTCCTTGGTAATGTATACACTTCTCCCAGCGTTCCTGCCATTGCTGGAAACACTGCTGGAACGCATCTTTTGGAATGGTTATCAGCCGGTCCGTCGCATTTCGCATGATGTCTTCTCTCGACTAAATTTGGGTTCCTTTTAGCGGCATTTTCAGCTTGAGAAATAGCCAAAGGTCACACGGAGCCATGTGGAGAGAGTACGGAGCGTGACGAACCACAGGAGTATTGTGTTTGGCGACGAAAGCCCGAATCAGATGCGCAGAATGGGCGGATGCGTTATCACGATGGAGCTGCCAAGTTTTGATCGACCACAGATCCCATCGTTTGCATCGCACTGTATCGGAAAGACGACGAAGGACCTCCTGGTAGTACTCCTTTGCGATGGTTTGGCCTTGTGGTGCGTACTCACGACACACCACCCCACGAGAGTCGAAAAAACTGTCAACATGACCTTTGATATTGCTGCAGACCTGCCGCGCTTTTTTTGACCTTGAGGATTGTCCCCGAAAGCCTGCTGAATCTTGAGAATGGTTTACACTTGGGTATCGCCAAGGTTTTTGGAAAAATTTGATGTAATATCGCTGCTCACGTTGTTGAGTCATTTTCCAGCTTAGTGGAATCCGACGAGAGCGCACTACATGACCTCACTCATAGGCGGATTGCCAACAACTGACGCTTCCTGCAGGCGGGAAAAAATTCAGGGCTGTGCATGACTGTCCCCTCCACAACTCCACCGAAGGAGGCCTGTCGCGCGTCATTGGTTTACGCGGAAAAAAGAAAGGTCTGATACTTTTTGAACAGACCTTGTATACAATACAGTTCGATATATCCTTTGTGTTAACGAAGGCGGGTGACATGTGTTCGCAACAAACAAAAGGTTTAACTTGAGATATATTCCTGTAATACTATAATTAACTTAAACTATCTTAATCTAACTTATATACTAAAGAAAAAGAGTAAAAGATAAGAAATACAAAGGAATCAGAAAAGTATAAGAAAAATGTTGGTGGGGTACCTTGGTCTTTCGAAAATCTCCAATCTCCTCGACGTCGGGACTTGCGCTCAATTCATCTTTTCTGTGTTCTTTTCTGTATCAGCTCTGGAAATTCCAAAGTATTTTCAAAGCCCTCAATCTTAGCATCAGTCCAGTTTGTTCGTTTGCCTTTAGACGACCTAAAGTCTGTTCCTTGTTCTACTCAGCGACGACTTTGACCTCTCCTTTTTTTTCATCTGCTCTCATCAAATGCTATCTCAGGAATGTCCATTTCTCTTTCCCTGATGCCCTCGGGGCTTTTTTGTTTTCCTTTGTTTCCCCTTTTCGTTCCTGGACAAAGGTTGCCCCACCCATAGAGAAAGAATGAATGAGAAAGTTCTAGAAACAGTGACATGAAAGACAAACGGTTTAGATTAATATAAAACTTATATTTAACTCCTATGTACATAGGTATGGCGTACTGCCACAACATGTATGTCCACATCTTGAATGGACAAGAAGTGTTTAGCAACTAGATTTTGGAGGTCATACCATATTTTTGCAAAATGATTGACATGCTGGTCTGTATGGGGAGACCATGAAATCAGACATTTCCATATGGTAGAAACTGGCATGCTGGTTTAAATGAGGTTATACATGAATTTTAAGAATTATTAATAATAGTCTTTAATTCTATACAAATTTAAATCTTAGTTTACATATGCATCAACTAAAAGTTTTGATGATAAAACAGTGAATCTGAATTTCCAATAGTCAGTGTCTTGAATCCCCAGATTGATGTCGGAGACATCTATGTATACAGTAATGTGCTATAATTAGGGTTGCCAGACCTCCTTTATTTTTGTTAAGTTGTCCTTGTTCTTTATTGAAACAAGAAAGGACACAATTTGTCCTTTATTTTCATTTTTCAATGCCAGTGTTTTGTAACAACAGTGACAGATTTCTTCAAAGATTTTCCTTATTTATCAATTCACATCTTCACTATAGAAAGCTCTGATTTAGCATTAAATATTTTGAATTCTAAATTAAATGTAAGTTTACAAATATTTATAGTCAGTATGAAAATGATCATTTTCAAATCAAAATCTAAAAAATATAAACAGAATAGCTATTAACTGCAAAAGGCATTCAATTTTACTTTCTTTGGGATGGAAGTTAAGGAATGGGCTGGAGTAAATGTTGGAGAGCAATAACATTAATCATTTTAGGTGTCCTTTAATCCAATCATAGAAACCTAGCAACCCTAGCTATAACATACTTATCTGCACATCTACCTTGATTATGAAAGATTTCTGTTCTGACTGCTTATTTCTCAACAAAAAAATGTAAATGTTTGAGAAGAATGTGTTTAAAGTTGTTTTTTATCAGTAGAATTTCACAATAATAGAAAAATAAAATTGAAATTATTTTTCTAAATTTTTCCACCTTAATTTAATACAAAAAATAAAAATAAAAAAGTATATTTTTATTAATTTTATTTTATTTCATATTTATTTTTATATAAAAGGATTTGTTATTATGAACAATAATAATAATTTTTGTAAAATTATATAACAATCTTAAAATTGTTCTTTGCAGGCTGTTATCAGACAATGCACTTTAGGGTTATTAGCCACATTATCTTTAAAAGATTTTCATGATATTGAAGGTAATTTGTATAGTTTAATTTAAACATTTATTTAATAATAAACTATAATAGTAATGATTTTTAAATTATCATGATATTTGAATGTTAATGTGTTATTGTAATAAGTAAGACAAAACCTTTTTCACTTTGTTTCTAGCAGTTTAATTACTAAGTACAAACATTTTGGGCCATTTTGAATGGCCTTCTTCAGGTACAATAAGGTCGGTTGGAATGTTGGTTAGCAGATATTCAAATGACATCACTGTTTACAAAGGTTTCTTCTTACTAGTGACGTCATTGCTGATAACAAAGTTTAGACGATATCGATATTGTTAATTTTCTTTTGATATTATTATCCAAGGTGTGCGAACGACTGTTGATGAGATAATTGTTAAAATTGGAAAATAAAAAATAAGATAAGTAAAGAAATTGCTCTAAAGATTGCAACAGGCTTGATGAGGGTGGATTGGCCTATTTAATTTAAGGGGTGATCGAAGAGTGATTGCCATGCGGTGGAGAGCGAGTCTGCATTTCTGCTGTTAATACAATTCTCCTTGAGGGATTTTGCAAAGATTTCAATTGTTTCAATTGTTCTAAGTTTGTTATTGTCAAGCATAGTGTAGTGCTCTGCCACTTATTATTTTTGTACTTTATTTATTTTTCTTGTTTCCGTAATCTCGTACCAGGATATATCTCAATTGTCACATTACCTAGTGATTGTAATTATTTCCATTTGTTGAGCACTGGTTTTTATTGTAATTGTCTTCGTTGATGTACATGTAAGGTGGGAGCCATTTTGTGTTGGTTTGTGATTGGACTATTATTGGCCTACGTATAGCTCATGTCATTCGGATGGCACAAGATATAAATTGTAGGAGTGCCATATGCGAAGGGCCTTTTTTGTTCTGTTAGTTGTCGGTCTGCACCTGAGGAGGCTTTCAGGCTCTACCAGGGAGAAGGAAGAAGCAAGGTAAGAACAAAGAAAATTCTGCAATTGTGCCAAGGTTTTGAACGGACATAACAAAAGGAAAACTCTTTTTCCATCGCCATGAGGACATAGCTTGATCCTACTGCCGAACTGTTATTGAGTAGTCTTACAAGTGATTAACACTGCAATACGAATATTTCCTTATTAGGTGCGAAATTTTTGCTAAAAAGGATTTAACTGCCACGTGACTAGGGATAACCCATTACATTGGTAAGGAGAGTCACTCATCGACTAATCAGCATATGTTCTGTCAGTGTAAAATTATTGTAAATAATTTCGTGTAATTATTTTTAAAGTTATTAAGATTAATAGTTTAATTAAGCTCATTCTGCACATGTTTCGACCAGTTACAATTAGTTATCTTGTACTGTTGAGAATTGTATGTTTGAATTTAGTATTATAAAACTGTTAAAAACCAAATTCCTCATGTTAATTGTTGTTTGTAAGGCCCTTCATCTCTTACCTCTCCACATTCTGTGTGCTTCGGCCACTACAGGTCTACAATAGGTATAATAATCTTAGCCTCTTCCCATTTGGCCATTATATTTGATTCACTTGCAAATTGGGCTATGATGGAATTAAACTTTTTGTTGTTGTTTTTGTGCTCAGCTATCCTTTTTGTAAGTGATCTGTTGGTTGAGCCTATGTATGTTAATTTTTTGTTTGAATTAAATCTGTTGTCCTATAGCAGGACCGAGTGAACTAGCCCATCTAATGTGCTACACCTCCTTTTTCACCTTCAACCACCAAATCTATCTTCAAAAACAGGGGTTCCAATGGGTAGCCCCCTATTTGGAGATCTCTGTGAATTAGTTGCTAGAAAATTAGATAGCCAAATCCTAGAAACCTTCAATGCAGAAATTATTCATTACATGAGTTATGTCGATGATATTCTTATTATTTGGAGATCCAAGCCAGATATAAACAGAGTACTACAGATTGTCAATAACAACCCATTTGGGCTTAAGTTAAAGTTAGACCAACAGGATGATCAGATGGCCCATTTCCTTGACCTCAATATATTCCTGAATCATGATTGTATAGCCACAAAGGTATTCCATAAGCATAATCTTCAATCTTTCATCATCCCCTCAACTTCGAATGACCCATTTACTTATAAAATATCCGCTTTCAGGGCTCTTATCCGTAAAGCTTTTACTCATTGATCTAGCATTAAGGATGCACTACAAGAAATCCAACACATCACCTTAGCCCACGGTTACAATGGTAAATTAATAGATAGGCTTTCTCAAAAAATAAATAGTTGCTTAGAAACTGAATTGATTAATTCCAGACCTCTAAAACAGCAAGGTAAATACATTTTAGTTGATTTTGCCGCTAGAATGAGCCAAGCATTTAAAATCATAACCAAGAAGGTCAAAGCTGCTCTTATATACAAATGCAACCCTATGATATATATAAACTTCTGGCTAATACCAAGGACAAATGCAGCAAAGCCAGAAGACCGGGGATTTATTGGTCCCACTAGAGCACTGTTTCTTGACAGGGGGGCCATGGACCCCTGGGGGTCTGTAAGAAGTTTGCCGGAAGGCCGTCAAATTATGCAAAATTTCCTTCAGAATATAATAAAAAGAAAATTGATGTATAACCGAATATCATATTGAAAAATGAAATAAGAAAGATAAAGTTTTCGTATTTAGTTTTTTTATTTATTTCTTATATCTTCCTACATACAACTTTGTTAGTACAGAAGAAATAAATGCAAATATGCTACTTACACCGCAGTATTTACTTCTTTTATTCCAAAGTAATTCTAAGAAATTATTAATGCTTGGAATTTTAAAAATAAAGCAATAATAAAAAAATCAATTTATTATAGATAATTTAACAAATATAAATTATTATTTAAAAAAATGAGGGTTACAAAAAAAATTATGAAATATTTGATGGGCCGCGAGTATAAAAAGGTTAAGAACCACTGCACTAGAGGACAACAGATTTAATTCAAACAAAAAATTAACATACATAGGCTCAGTCAACAGATCACTTACAAAAAGGATAGCTGAGCACAAATACGACTCATACAATAAAAGTTTAATTCCACCCTAGCCCAATTTGCAAGTGAACCAAATATAACGGCCAAATGGGAAGAGGCTAAGATTATTATACCTATGCTTGACAATAACAAACTTAGAACAATTGAAACAATTGAAATCTTTGCAAAATCCCTCAAGGAGAATTGTATTAACAGCAGAAATGCAGACTCGCTCTCCATCGCATGGCAATCACTCTTCGATAACCTGTTAAATTAAATAGGCCAATCCACCCTCATCAAGCCTGTTGCAATCTTTAGAGCAATTTCTTTACTTATCTTATTTTTTATTTTCCAATTTTAACAATTATCTCATCAACAGTCATTCGCACACCTTGGATAATAATATCAAAAGAAAATTAACAATATCGATATTGTCTAAACTTTGTTATCAGCAATGACGTCACTAGTAAGAAGAAACCTTTGTAAACAGTGATGTCATTTGAATATCTGCTAACCAACATTCAAACCGACCTTATTGTACCTGAAGAAGGCCATTCAAAACGGCCGAAAACGTTTGTACTAGTGATGTAACGAATATTCGGTTACTATTTGGTATTCGGCCGAATACCGAATATTTAATCACTATTCGGCCGAATACCGAATACCTAAAAACAGGAGTAAGAAATAACAAAAACACAGTAAATTAATCATTTTGGTATTTAGATTTAATGTTATCGAGTTAGTGTTGTTTGTTTAGGCTATACTTATTTATAACTTATAACATGCATAAAATAATAAAGAAAATAATATTAGTCACATGTATTCACAATTTATAATTACAAAGATCAGCACACATACAGTACACACCTATTCGTTCGAGAATCGTCGCACATCCGAGAATCTGACCCTGCGTATCCTTCTTTTTAAGTGCTCGTCTTTGCTCTTCCCTTTCTCTTTCCTCTATTGCTCTAGTTACATATGCCTATGCATACATCATAATACGCGCTCATGATACTTTCGATTCGACACTTTTCCGTCGTAGATTTCCCATTTTACAATTACGTGACTCAATTGCCTGGTGATAACAGAGAAAAGAGACAGATAGGATGTCGGTATAAGTCACAGTTATGATGTCACAGATTCGAGACAGCTCGGTAGTTCGAACAGCCCCAGGCTTTCGCCCGTACACGCTAAGTGACTGTCATTACAAGCATTTAGCTTTCCAAAGTCTATAACAACAATTGTTTGGCTTTGCGGGTGTATAAATCTTTACGGTTCGGGGGCCGTAAAGATTTATTATGCACATTTTTGGGTAGAGTCCTGCCACCAGGTGTGTTTTATCGACACACTGCCGTTCGAGATGAAATGGATGATTAAGGTGTGAGGGTAAGAATCACTCTGAAGTCCAGGAATGAGTCTCTCAGGAGGAAGAATGCAGAGTCAGATATAACCAATTTAAGGACATTTATTAACATAAACGAAAGTTTAGAACAGAATTATAAAAGCCGAATTTGGAAATTTGCTTATTTTTATCTATACAACGAGGGGGGTGCCTAACGGGGGTATTCTAACTTACACGACTCACAACATACCAGGTAAACAAGATGTCTTCTCTTGTGACGTGGATCTGACGATCAAGAATGCGGAGGTTTCTGGTGTTCGCTGCATTTAGTCAGTGTTCGCTGTACTTCGCTGCACTTAAGTTCAAGAGAAGATAACTCAAAAACGAGCAAGCACTTCGTCTTTTGCTTGATCGTATTTGAGTCGTCTTCTCTTGAACCACTCTTTCTCTGATTGGAGCTGTGTCCACAACTGCTGACTATCTGACTGTCTCTCTAACTGGACTGTGTCCTCATCTCTAACTGCCTTTTTTTTTAACTCACTTTCTAACTGGACTGTGTCCTCATCTCTAACTGCCTTTTTTTTAACTCACTTTCTAACTGGACTGTGTCCTCATCTCTAACTGACTTTTTCTGACCGACTGGAGCTCTCCTTTTAAACCCTTCCAGCATGAGAAAGTTCATCGTAGGGTAATGAATGATTCATTGGCAGTGTCATCATTGTAGCTGAGGCAGTGTTTTCTTATTTGGTGATGACATTGAGCTTTCATAGAGTCAATCTCTGAGTTGGTGTTTTCTGAGTTGACATGACTCATCTTTGTCATTGTTTGTTCATTGATTGCTTTGACTAAGTTCTTCATGTAAACATTGCCGAAAACAAAGGGGGTGCAATTTTCCTCATTTCTATAGATATCTTTTATAATTGTTGATTATTTGGTTGCTCTTTCCTCTTTTTTTGGCATGTTGTGAGATTTCGGATAGTTGAATAAACCGTTTTATTCTAATTAATTTAAGTTGATATTAAAATTTGGAAAAGGGGGGTCCCTAGATTGGTAAAATAGGCGAATTTCCTCCTACAATTTTGGTTGTTATTCAAGATACAATTAAGGTTCACGTGAATACATAGTTAAAAAATAAAGTAAATAAACAAAAATTATTACAAATAAGTTTACAAATATATATATATATATAACTTATTTGTAATAATTTTTGTTTATTTACTTTCTTTTTTAACTGTGTATTCGCGTGAACCTTTATATATATTGGAGAGGGGAGTGGTGGTCCTCACACCAGCCACAAATTTCGTGCCAATAAGCTGCCTCAACTTGTTTGATTATGTTATCAACTCAATTTCATATTTATTTTCACATTTTTACTTCGCAGTCCTTCTCTGTTCTTTTCCGTTATTTACATGTGTAGGTCATTTCATTGTTATTCACATTTAATTCATCATTTATCACATACTGCCGTGACGCTCTTGTCTGTCCGCTACAAGTGTCAAGAATTAAAGCGATTGGCGAAGTGTAGTAACAGCAGGCCAATAGAGAGCAGGGTCCTTGCCGTAATGCGGTTTGCGCGCCAATTTTCGTACGTGCGTTAATCAAGTCGAATAGTTTGGCCGAATATTCGGTCTTCGGCCTGAGGCCGAATATACTATTTGTTGCAACACTAGTTTGTACTTAGTGATTAAACTGCTAGAAACAAAGTGTGAAAAGTTTTGTCTTACTTATTTAAGTAGTTCTAGCTTTGAGTGCATAGAAGTGTTATTGTAAAGTAAATGTTTCAATTTTTGAAGATTAGGATAAAAGTTTGATTTTAAATAAGTTTAAAATAAAATGAATTAGATCTATTTATTTTGATGTAAGAAATTATGAAATATTCACTGAATTAGAATATGGAAATTCACATAAAGTTTTAATGTAAAATGTGAAAAATATCAATCAAAAATTATAAATTTCTATACTTACAAGAAAGTTTTATAATTATTTTTCTAATAATTGATCTACAAGTAAATTTACATACATAAATGCCACTTACTTGGAAGCTTTGTTATATATTCTATATACTTTAAATTTTTTTAATGTGAAGTTTGTCTGTTTTTATATTAGTTTATAATCTTAATAAATATTTACAAATAATTTTTATATAGAAAATATATTCAACATTTTTTATACTAAATATTATTAGATAGGATAATTTTTTTCTGTCATATATATTGATGGTAGTTCCACAGTATTTTTCAGTTAAGAATAAACTTGTAAGATTGCACTGACATTTTTGAAATAAAAATCATTAAAGTACACAGATATGGAAAAAACAGTCACAATACTACTGAAACAAATAAAAATCAAATACTAGAAACAGAATCACTCCCTATTTCCTATTTTGACAAGCATGGCTTTTATATTTTTCACAAACTAGCTTTGAAGAAATTTATAACACTAGGATTATTTGATTCAAATTTTGCAGTGAGTATTAAAAAACAGCATTTATTGTAATGGGAATTTAAATACAGAGAGAGTTCAAGGAGAGATATGGCTCTATATATGTATAAAACATTATATATTTGATTTGGCAAAATTTGATTTTCAGATATATATGTATACTTTTATAAGTGAAAGTTTGTTAGAAATCATATGAAATATATATTAAACTTGAAACTATGAAACTTAAACGAATTTCTTGATAAAGGTTTCATCATTTATCTTATCAAAGTTTTCATTTCTATTGAAATTGATTTTAAAAATTAATATAAAAGTAAGAATTATATTTATTGTTTTTTTAATTAAAATAAATTTAAAATTTCATGCTTTCTACTATCAATATTTGAAATATATTATTTTTTTGCTTGATTTAAATTTAAATTATTCTTTCTTTAGATGAATTGAACAAAGTTGTTTGCTCATATCTAACTTGTGATCGTTTCTGGGATGATTCATTACAAGATGTATGTTATTCTTTATAATAATTTGTAATTCTACTTCATTTTGTCTTTTTTCAATTTTATAATAGCATTACTTTAGTTACAAAACAAATTAGTTTCTAATTCTTTTTTATACTAATTCATACTATAGTTTAATTATTAGTTGAATTTTATTATTTAAAAAAAAAAAAAAAAACAGTAAAAATCTGAATTTTGTAAACTGTGTGGGAGTGATAAATGATAATAATGCATTAAGTTGAAATGGAAATGGAAAATCACATAAATTGCAAATTATTCTATAGATGATTTATTTTATAATAAAACTATTAATATTATGCAAGATGTAGTTGTGAGATAAGTAGTGTGAAAGGTGCACAAAATTAGAATTTACCACAAAGGCAGACAGGATATAGTAACAAAAATGTTATATTTTTCCAATTAAACTATTTCGTGTGTTTATACAGATTCTATTTCAGGGGATTCCAACTTCACGGTACAAACAGTAGCATGTGAAATTACAGCGAGAATAATAGATCGTTATATCCAAAGCACGTGTACAATATAGATCCCAATCGTGACAATATAATATATAACCTGAAACCTTAAAACTAACCTTAAACACTAACTTAACACTAATAACAGAAAAAGGAATAGAAATAAGAGGACAGAAGAAATGGTATATATGATAGAATTAGGGATACCCGGGGTTTTGTCCTGTTTCTTTATGTGTACTGTTGGGTGGGATAACACATGTTCTTCTCCTATCTGGCCAGTTCTTTTCCTCTTCAATACTTAGGATTCTTCCTTCCACTATCATCAATACAACTCTAAAACAGAATCTTTTCTCTCCTTATTTCTGAAATCTCCAGTAGTTGCTATTGCGACTCCTAGTATTCTCACCTTGTCCGCACACTCTGATGTCCATCCTAAGAATGACCTGCCACGTCACTTTTTTTTCCTCTGGGTCCTGTTTACACCTTTGTTCCTCACATTTCTAGGAACTGGTCATCCCACCCAAGGGACAGGGAATAGATAAGAAAGTTCTAGAAGAAAATAGAACAATAGAACAAAGGGTAGAGAGATGAAACTAAACTAAACTTAAATTAATATTTACAAAAATATAGCATACAGCCATAGTAATAGTAGGTTTGTAATGTATTTACTAGATACTAAAACCATTTACAAACAAAAAAAACTTTATTTTAACAATACAAGATATATGGTTAACATGAAACAAAAGATCATTGTGAGGTCCAACTCTGGGAGTGTAAATTGGAAATTCATCTGATTGACTCTTACAAACACCCAAGACAAAAAACAAAACACATTTAGGTCCAAACATTACAGAATGGAAAGTTTACAATTATGAAGCACTGTGACAAACCAACAGAATGATTACTGTAGACAAATTAATCTTATGCTAGCTCTTATAACTAAAAAAGGATTAGTGTAAAAGGAGAGAAATAGAAATGAAAGAGATTGTGAAAAACAGAATTAAGAGGATTGGCAATCTGATTTGTTGTTTGATGTTTAACAACTATGGCATTATATTGTTAACAATACTTGAGGAGAGGTTAATTTTATTTTGTAGCCAAAGATGGGATAGTTTCAACTTTTCACAAATAAAAATATATCTTTATTAACACAATAACTTATTTCATAACTTATTGTGAAATTTAAGTATAGGATTTGAATGTATTCTGGCCCCACAAAATTTTTGAACCGGGCCACGCAAAAGGTCATGCCAGCCCTGATAACAATATATGTAGCTTTAAGATGAGATATACTGGGAGTGCTCAAGTGCAGTCATCTGGCAAAACAGAGTACCTGGGGCTAGAGAATGAAGCATGTAAATGGATAGTGTGGCCGTCAGCCATGATATGATATATTCCCTATATTTTATATTGTATTAGTATTAGAGTTTCCTCTTTCTTTGTCTAAATCCTTCTAGAACTTTCTTTTCTCTAAACCTTCCTAGAACTTTCTTTGTCTAAACCCCTTTTGCCCTTGGGGGAGGATTACCCTCTTCGTAGAAATAAAGAACAAAGGAAAAGGGAGTGAGGCCCGGAAGCAAAACGGAGAGAAAGGGTACCAAATGGAGTGGAGATCTCGAGTAGGTAGGAGGTAACATAGAGGTGCTCCTACAAGTAAGAAGTGATCTGAGACGAAGCGATCCGAAAAAAGAGGACTGTAGACGAAAAGTCTACAAGTGAGAGGTGATCGAAGACGAGAAAGTACAGAGAGAGATCCTCTGGGGAAGACGACTCAATCCGAAAGAAAAAGACTGTAGACGAAAGGTCTACAAGTAAGAAGTGACCTAAGACCAAAAAAGTGCAGAGAGAGATCATCGAGGGAAGGCCTCTTAGTCCGAAGTGTTCTCCAACCAAGGGCTCATCGCAAGAAACCCGGGTATTTCTACTTCTTTCCTTGTCTATCTCTATATCCTCTATTCTTCCATCTTTAGTTATAAGTTAGTGTAAGTAATTACGGTCCTCGCCAGATTGTCGCGTGGGTGCAAGATAACTGTTTTTGAGGTGTACCATTGAGCGCCTGTATACGTATAAAATTCTGGAAATTGTAAAGTTGGGATCCAATAAACGAACCTGTTCAGTGAGAAAAATAATACTTTGTGTTAAGATTCTTTTTTTTGTACCATTTCGCTCGCGGGATCGTGTACCCCTCACACTGAACACCACAATAGTCAATGTGTCAAAAAAAGATAGGGATTTTTAATCAGCCATTTGTCATTAATCATATATATTAATATGTAATAACAGTTTTAACAGTTGATTTTTAAAGATGGGTGGTAAACTATTCCAAAACATCTTAGTCTATAGAAAGATTATTTACTCTTGAAAATAAGCTATTTTTGAGTTTATTAATTTATTAGAGGGAAGGGAGTTGAAAAATAGTTATTTCAAATAGTTTTGAATAAGTATCTAACTATTAAAAAGGAATGAATATATTACATGGATATTTTAAATTTCAATGATATTATGTATTCTTCTATTTGATATTCTTATTTTTTTTCAAGCTATGATTTTAATTGAAATATAGCTTGAAGGTTGCTTATACTTTAAGAAAACAAAAAATATTAGTTTTAATTTTCTTGATAGTTTATTACTATTTTTTTATAATGCACTATTCAAGTAGAATTTTGTTTTGAAGATATATCTTAAGTGATAAAACCAGCAATTTTTTGTTTTTACAATTTACATTTTAATATCACATACTACATACAGGGCTGGTTTTGGACTGCTAACTGCACTAATAAGTAAGCACAATTGGTTAATGTTGCCTATGGTGACTAAAATGGCGCTCGTCTCTGATTCCAGCAAACAGAAGAAAGAAAACAGTGGGGACACATGTTCTAACCTAACTCAACCTATTCTAATAATTTGGTTGGTAATAATTATGGTAATTTATTAGAATAGGTTAGGTTAGGTTAGAACGTGCGTCCCCACTGTTTCCTTTCTTCTGTTTGCTGGAATTGGAGACAAGCCGCCATTTTAGTCACCAAAGGTGACATTAACGCACAATTTTATCATGTGATCACCGGAAAAAGTATGATAACTTTCTTATTTTTCGTCTCCGGTCCAAAAGTAGGGTATTGTTGAACTCGTCTCAGTCACCTCAGTTCAGATATATACTCAAAGTTACAAAATTCTATATGTGGTAATCTATATAATCCCCATTTCCCTAATTGTAATAATATTTTAAACCATTTGATTTTTTGTATTACAGTTTTTTACTTGATTGATGATTGATTCTATTAACTAATTTGTTGATTGTTTGATTGTATTAACTTGATTCTTTAGATATAGAAAATTAAATAAACAACATTATGTTAATTTAAGCATACAGAAATGTTGCTGTTGTTCCAGCAAAGATCTTATTTTCACTTTACCAAATGCCTAGTAAGTAATGTGCAGATTACCTAGATACTCTGCACATTACCTAGATAATTTGAGAAATGGAACAATTTTCGCAACTTTAACGGATCATCCTAGTTAATCTGCAGATTAGCTAGGTAATATACACATTAACAGCTTTCGAGCTTTAGCGGTAACATATAGATACAATATATACATATGTATATATAAAAATTAATAATGTTCATCAACATCTCTTTCTTTATTTAAATTTTCTTTTGGTTCCATTAACAATTAAAACAATAGTGTAAGTATTGCTTTAGGTTAATGGTACGGGAATAAAAGACCATTCATAATGTTATTATATAAATAGCCTTAAACTTAATCATAAGGCATTAACATAAGCAAAGCTTTGAGTTTGCAAACTTTAATTTTACAAACTCAAAGTTTTTATGCTTTTTATGTGATTTAAAACAAGAAACAATCATAGTGGTTATGGAATTCCCACTGGCGAATTTTTCTCTAGTTCAATGGATGTATTCCCCAACACTTGTTGCTTTCACTTTTAAGTTTTCTAATGCAAAACACCTAACATGTATGCTTCTGCATTATTTGTATTCATAAACTGTACAGCTCTACTACATCATCAGTCATTGTGCAAATATTAATCTATTTCATTGCTGACCACTATATTAAAATAAAAATAAATTGTATTTGAATTTCATTTTTTAAAGTGCGCTATCTGTTATCCTAAGAATTTGGCTGCTTATGTGCAGGCATGCACTGCACACTTATCAGAACTGACTCTGATCACATATCACTTTATTAACAAAATACAACAAAACTGTAATTTTAATTATAATCATGTTAAAATTTAGTTGTGATTGTAACACATTCAGATTTATTAATAAGAATTAATCTCTATTTTATTTCAAAATCTTATAATAGCTTTTATTCTATAAAAGTGTTTTAAATATTTTGAAATTGGAAAAATTATTATTATTATACTGATGTTAAATATTGTTTGTTTAGATAAATCAAGTTCCCATTTTATTTTGCCTCATCATTGGTCTAATTATGGTGGGTGGATTTTGTTTATGTTATTATATTGTTTGGATATTATTTGAGTAAGTATTGTATTTTATTTCATTTAAAAATGTATTGTGTAAATAATTTTAAATTTAGAATGTTAATTACTAAAAAATCTATAGTTATGTCTGGGTCTTGAAAATAAAAAATAAACATGTAAAACAACTTTGTAAAGTTAGTTTCTTGTCTTTAATTCGTTTTAAATTATTCTTTGCCTACTTGGACCTTTTTAATCAGGACTTATTATATTTAATATGAAAGAAAGAAAAAACTTCTAGATGTTTCTGTTTTTTCTTTATTATTCTTAGATGCATTTTGAATATTTTCTGTTCCTCTTCAGTGGATACAAAGGTAAAAATTTTTGGCACAAAATTTACAGGATGTTATACAAAAAACTGTAAAATAACAACTCCCATATGAAATTATTCACCCAAACAAATTGCTTTTCTGATGTTTACATCTTTATTATCTTATTGCTTTTGTGTTTTTACAATCCATTTTTAAGGCTTTTGTTAAAAATTACACTTTAAGAATACTGGTTGGAAAATCACTCTGTTAAAAGCACAAATGACAGATAAGTTTGATACACACACCAGTGGCATGCCTTCATTAGAAGCGGTGGAAGCGCCACTTTCCTTGTATTTTATAAAAAATAAATACATATTAATTTTAATTATATGAAAATAATCGCACAATATTTTATTATAACCGCATTATGTATCTTATTACAAATTTCTATACTACACGTGAAAAAAAAAATAAATAAGATTGCTATTGTATATTCGAATATTAGTGGCAGAGTGGAATCTCTGTATTGTCAGATTCCAAAAACCCAGATTTGTACATGCGCTTTACAGAGCACCAACCTCACCCGGTTTAGCTGGTGGAAGCCTACGACCTTGGGTTGATGCTACACATATAACGCTTCCAATTCTATCCGGGACCGGTTCTGGGCTGTTAGCCGCCCGCCCGCTAGATATTTGGCTGATTACGTGAATAACGAATAGATTTATAACTTAACCCAACCGATAAGAATTTACTGGTATGTTTTTACGATAGTTCTGTATAGTTGATGGGAGTTAAAAAATCCATTAAAATATTTGATATATTTATTCCACTCTCTGGTTTTATATTACTTACGGATTTCAATGTTAAACTAGTGATATTACGATTTCATATGTCCCATCTTTAAGGGGATGTCAAAAAAAACGTGTACAATTCTTGTATAATGTTAAAAAATTAACCGTTACTTCGACAGCATCATTTACAACTAAATTTAATTAATGAGAGAGATGCATGATGTACAGAAAAAGCTCTAGAATTTATTTTCCTTAAATTTATGATTTATGTATCCGTTGTCGTAAAAGTTTGTCTTTCCACTTTTTTCCCGAGACTACAAATATTCGAGTACAAAGTAACTGGTTTCGACTTTATTTCTACTTAAGAAGTAGTTAAATAATTAAGCAATTAAGGAATTGGGGACATAAACAAAACCCTGATGAAAGAGCCAGAATATTACTTAAACAAAAGCTTAACCGAACCAATCTATAGCCGAGTACAGTGGGGACTGATTTCTTCAAAATACTGTATTAGATGTAATAAAGACAGAAATTTTTCCAGTTTGACGAGAGTGACCAAAAAGTTGTAAATTTTGGAAATTTCCGTGGACAATACCCGGTCCTAAAACGAATTAATTAGAAAACAAATCTATTAAGTTTAACATATTTAGATTTTTACAGCTATGGTGAGAAACATTTAAAATTTACAACAACCTGTCACATCCTTTGAGGTATACTAATNTTAGTTATAAGTTTTTTGCCTCGCGTATAGTCGTAATTCTCAATTAATCCGCTGTTTGTTAGATCGAATTAACGCATGTACGTACAGAGATTATTGTATTGTTGGGATCTGAAGAAAAACGAACCTGTTCGAAGCGACAATAAATATCTTTGTGTTAAAGACATCCAACGTGTATTTATTTCGTGCTTTTCCGCTCGCGGGACATTGTACTTGTCGCAACGAAACACCACAATTTTGTATGTACCAGTACATCCACTACATATTTTATTTCACCGAGTAAGTTTTTATTATTTTATTTTTAATTGTAGCCCTTATATCGTGGCTAGTGATTCGGAATGTAACTGTGATATTAAAAATGCATTTAGAGAAGTCTACAGTTTTTACTGGCTTATCAAATAAACGATACGAATGGACCCTAGACCGTCACTGACGCGCATATGACTGATTGCCCCTGGATGTCGGCTTCTTACAGAAACACAGCTTCCCTATCATCAAATGTCACGGCACGCCCCTGACACACACCATCTTATAACACAAACATCTATCCTTCTCTCTTAAACTTTTTCTTAAAAAACTTCCCTCTATATAAAGATATAACTGATAGTTTACCAAATGCATGAAAATAGATAATTGGGAGAGAGAAAGGGATGGAGTATAAGGAGAAGGACCTAAAGTAAAGTAATAAAAATCATTATTAGTATGTATAACCAGAAAAGAGGGTTTCTTTAGAAAAATTTAGGAGAGAAGTAGTTTTGTGATATATGATGTTGACCAGATATGTTGTTTTTCCACTGATATTCTTGAGGTGTGATTTTTAGCAAATCAATCAAGAGCAAATTCAAATCTCTTTCAAGAAATCAAAGATTTGACTTCTTGAAAGAAGTTTTAATTTGTTCTTGATTGATTAACATGATTTTGGTTTTTCAGAGAAAAAGATTTCATCAAATGTTGTGTCCGTAAAATAAACGATTATTTGTTAACATATATAATTAACTTTATTATAGTAGAAACATAACTTTGTGGTAATGTAACATTGTGCCTCTAGGTCTAAGTGTTACAACAGCTAACGCACAACTGACTGGAGAGAAAGTAACATGACAAAGGTCAGAGGTGAGGGGTCACCTAACTAGGTCAAGGGGCAATTTGGTGTGGGTTATCCCCTGGAGGTTTACATACATAACAATTCTCCCACGCTTAATAAAATGTTTAATATTTGTTTGTTTAGAGATTTAGGTGTTGTACTGGTCTTCATATTCACGTTGATTGTTGAGGTTCTGATTCATTTGTGTTTGTTATCGTTCAGCTAGATTCTCCCTCCTTCTCTGCGGCTGGTCAGAAGTTATTTTTGTCATTGTCTCTTTTTTGTTGAGTAAAGTCGTTACGGTTTCTTCGTCATAGCTAATTGTGCTTGGGTGTGGACTGGGGATGAGTCTCTATTGTTTACTATGTCATTGCATTTGTCAATTTTCTTTTTGTTGAAGTCAAATTCTATCTGAATGGGATTTGTCTGTTTGTTAATTTCACACAGACATAGTTGATCATAATGCCTTTTTATTACATATCCATTGTCGAGTTCATAATGTACACGACTTAGTCATTCAGCAACAATACCATATTTCCAAGGACCGGATGTTGTGTAATTTCAGGATTGTACATGATTCTCCACACGATAAAATTTGCAGAATTTCGGTTGTTTGGTTATGTTTCTTTGTGAGGCTTGTGCCTGAGGTTTGAGCAGATCTAATTTTGTTCTTATTGTATATCCTAATAGGGAAACATGCAACTGAAAATTAAAAAAAATTTACTTTAAGTTATTTTTATATTCATTTGTATAATAATATATGTTAAATAACACATAAACATATGCAAACAGAAATGTATAATAATATATTAATTAGTTCATTTTTTGTGACAAAAGTACTGACTTTTCTGAAAATCTTGTTTTTTTGCAATAAAGTCACAAAGTTTCATTTTTCGCTTTTTTTCTCTCCTTAAGCAAATGTCAGTAACAGAAAATTGCATCCAAAATGCCTCATTTTGCTTTTGCACTCCTTTCAAAATCTAGATCATTCACTACAATTTGATCAACGATTTTGGTTATCGTTACCAAACTTTTACTAAAGAAATCTGTAGCAAGTTCTTTGGGTTCTTTGTTTTCAGAATCTCTATTTTCAAGTTCTACATGAATTCCTTGTTCTGCCAGTTCTTGAAGTCATCGTTGGTAAGGCTCTTACCAGAAACCTGCAGTAACTCCCCAATATCCTGCTCGTCTACATTTCCTGTATTGATTAAGTTGACAATTTGGTCAACATAACAATACAGCAATAGGCTATTCTCATTGAGAATTCTTGGATACCTTCAGCCATAACTTCTTTCACACTCCATTCATGCATTTATCAGTTAATTCTTGCCAAGCCAAGTCACTATTTTTTATGGCATCCATGATGATATATTTTTTCCAAAATTGCACAAAACAAACATAGATTTAAGGAAAGTACTGTGCTGCTATGAATTGCCATCTTTTGCTGATTGGTTCATGTTTGGGAATAATCGTATTATATACAAATCAATGAAATATTGCATTAATTTGAATCAGCGTACATTTTGAGCGTTTTTTAGGCATCAAGCAGACCGCATTATATTGAATCAGTGTTAAGTGGGGTCTTACTGTATAAGTACATTGGCATAGTTCTTAGGCTTGCCTCAAGTGCCAAAATTATTTAGAATAATCCTTGCACCAGAGTTTAACTGTAACTTATATATGATATGTTTTAAAACATAAAATTTGATTTTTTTGGTTTTGTGTCAAATTTTGAATGTGCAAAATTAGATGTCATCTGTATGGGATTTTTCATAGCTAGCATGGGACTTGACTATATTACTTGGGAAAATCTTACTAAATTGGAACATCTGGCAACTCTACTTAATAAAGATTTTTTTCTAGGAACCAATTAGGTCATAAAAGTGAGAATCTACTTGTACATTAAAATTGATAAGCCATTAATAAGAAATTTTTAAAAAATAATGTAAACTGTTTTTATTCTTTTGCAGTTCTTCTCCTTATGAAGAAATTCATTGCAATGGGCTTAATTTTCCGAATGTTACTTGTACACCACGTCCTAGTATTTTTCCAGAATACCGTTATCAAAGGTTTCGAAATAATAATAGATTTCCAAGACGGTGATGAAGTGAATATATTTATTTTTAAACACATACTCCTGTTTCCGTTATCACTTCAAGGCATATATCAAGATACCATGAACAAAGAACAATACAAAGTATCTTGAATGTTATTTGAAATCTATAAATTATTTCAATAAANTAAAATATTTTTCTGACAAAATTGAAATGCATGGAAATAATTGTATATTATGTATCTGTTGAGCTAGACCTTAAGTGGTGCTCAAGATACATCTTATTTTGTTTCCTAAGTATGTATAGTTGCATTTGTTTTATTTGAAACAAAATATACCATAATTGTTTTTATAATAAATATAGCTTCAAAAATATATTTTTTATTATAGTTATTGTAAATTTGATGATGAATTTCTTCTTTTTGCTTTGATAGTGATAAGTGAAATTTAGTTATTTAGAAAACGTCATAAATTCTGTTTTAGAATTTATAATAATATGTGATTCTTTGAAAGTTGAAAAAGCAATGATAAATGATATTGCTCATGAGTATTAATATGTTTTGTGCTTAGCTTTTATCACTGCCGTTTTATATATCCCTACAGAAATTGTACTTTTATCTTTATTCATAAATTTAAAAAATTTTTAGCTCCACATTTAAAATATATTATTTCAATAGCACCATATCAAAGCCTTCAACTAATTGTATCCTATAAGAAAGTTATTGATTAATTGCTAAAGTGAAATTGTGATATATTAAAAGTTGTTTCATGATAGAAATTTCTTTAAAATGCTGTGTTAATACAAAAGGCACAAAAATAATCATAAACTTTTAATTGTTTGTGAAGTTTTATTCCAATAATTAATCATTATAATTATAAAATTTTGAAAAACAATGGTTGTTAATTTTAAAATAATATTTAAATTTATAAAAGTTAGATCAGTTAGGTAACATATTTCATGAGAGATATGAAAACAACTGCTAAAGTGTCAAAATGTTAACTTTTAGGTTATCCTGGATTTTTCTAAAGATTAGTGTCAATCATAAATTTTTAATCTGAAATTCATTCCATAATTATTTGCATATATACTATGTAATTTATACTAAAGATAGTTGGTTAATTAAACTTCATTTTTCATTAAATTTAGTAATAATATTAATTTTGAATTAACATAATTATTTAGCCTATTCTAGAAGAAAAGATTGGTCAGAGCATGACTTTCAATCCTAGTATCTGCTTACCGTTTAGATACTGCTTGCTTTTAATCCAAATTATATAGTATCTATGAAAATAATTAGTCAAGTTCTAGCCCATTAGTTAATCCAGTCTTATCATTTGATCATTAAAATATTTTGAACTTGGTTGTCTACATGTATGGTATTTATGTTATCATTTTTTATATTTAATTAATTTCATCCCATTTATGTGCAAGAAAGTTATAAAGTTAGATTTTAAAAATTAGCAAATGAAAAACAAAATGGTTTTTGAAATGTGTTATTTAATGTTGTGATTGGGAAGATATGCAGTTTATTTTAAGCCAATGTAGATTTTAAATATGTGTTTTAGATACCATAGGGTGCAAAATGGTTATTTTATGGAAAAACAAAACTAACAACTAACAAGCTGAAATGAATTTATTATATTAAATTTTCAATATATTTTACTTTTGCCATTATCCATACATTTATTATCCAAACAATTAATAAAATTATAGGCTTTCATTTGAAGTAACAATAATTTTGCTATTTGTTGTTTTCAGTTGCTATGGAAATATCAAATTTTGAAGGCATCCATTGTAGGCAAGTGCAATGGGTGCACAGGCACAAGGTTCATCAAGACAAAGCAGGCCCCTAAAAGGAGTATTAAAAATTATCAGTATTATATTTTTATTTTCAAATTTTAAATTTTTTCATCATGGGGGACCAATTCTGAAATAATAGTTTGGTTACAATCAAAAATTAGCTAACTTTTTTTATCATATTTGTTTTTTTATATTTTTTTCCAAAAAAAAAAGGGAGGAGCCAAAAATAAAATTTTGCCAAAGGCACACAGCTGGTTACAGATTATATATAAATTTTTAGTATTATTAACTTTTGAAAATCATTCAAAATAAAAAAATTGTGAATGTTTTGAGTAAAGTATAAATTGAGCATGAATGCTACTATTTTATTTGAATATATTAGGGAGGTTGTAGCATCATTCACTTGTGCATTGTTTTTAGTATAATATTCCAATAAACTTCTGACAAGAAAAATAATTAACCTTTTACTGGTGATGTGGAATGGATGCCATTCTACATAGCATTTAGCCTTACAAAAATCTAAAACATTTTTTTGAAAAAATCTGGAAAACTGAAGCTTCTTAATTCAATAGGCTGCATAATATCATAAAGAGAAATTTTCAATTAGATTGAAACATTTCAATAAAAACATGTGGAGTTTATTTTACCTCACTCTGTAGGAAGAAGTTAATAGATTTTAATGTCAGTTGTTTGTTCTTGTATTTTTTTTCAGTCTAATCTTTTTTATTTGTAAATTTAAAGTCTGCATCTTTTTCCAATATCTGTTTAACTACACTTATTATCATATCAAAATATATTATTCACCGGATTGAAAACTGTTGTGAAAAATATTTTATGGAACTGTGCAAAGCCTTCAGTATTTAAACTCAAATGCATGTGTCTCACAGAAAAAGAACCAAAAAATGGAATTTCATGTCAGTTGTTTATTCTTGTATTTTTTTTTTCAGTCTAATCTTTTTTATTTGTAAATTTAAAGTCTGCATCTTTTTCCAATATCTGTTTAACTACACTTATTATCATATCAAAATATATTATTCACTGGATTGAAAACTGTTGTGAAAAATATTTTATGGAACTGTGCAAAGCCTTCAGTATTTAAACTCAAATGCATGTGTCTCATTCATATTGTTATAATTATACTATTAAAAAAAATTAAAATCTGCTGAATTGAAATTTGTCTTTCTGAACTTTGAAATTTTTAAATAAGAAAAAGTTTATTATAATTTTAAATTGGTTTAAGAAAACTGCATGGCTTTCCAAGAGTAATTTTAATATGTATATGAATAATAGAAAATTGGACTGATACTTCATAATTACTATGAATATTTAGGATGAGACAAAGTTCTACCTCATAGTGAAATAAAATATTTCTTTCTAGATTATTTTAAAAATAATAGAATATAAAGTTGACCATTATATGACGGATACTTATTTTAAAAAATTTTTTTGAAAGAATCAGTTATATATTTTCGTTATTCTAAGAATATTTTTAAATCTAATATAAATAGAATAAGATAAGCATCTCTCTTTTATTATTTTGTTCAGTTTAACTGATATTTTTGCATTTTTCACTAAAACTGTATAGTCAATAATGACAATCTGCACAGTCCATATTGCTGATACATATCCCAAAAAATCATCTCTTCCTTTTGAAGAGAGACTAAAAATGTGATTGTTTTTCAGTGGAATTTGTTTCCAAATTGATATGTCATAAAACTTAATTTTTTTAAATAATTATTAATTATATATATTAATTTTTAGAAATATTTAATTTTTGTTGTGTGAACGTTCAGATTTGGCCAAATCAGTTCAATTTTATAATTTCTAACTTTTATATTGATATAACAATGATTATTCATAGATAAATAAATAAATAGGTATAGATTTAAAATATAAAATAATTATTTCTATGAAACAGAACTTTTGCCTCATCTTAAAGTGTAGTTAATATATTTTAAAATATAAAAAGATAATAGATAAATCACTTACTTAATATATTAAATTTTTAACTTATAATCTGAGATCTTATGACCCATAGTCCTAACTACTTGCACCCAGTTCTTTTTAATCCGGCATTTTAAAATCTAATAAAAAATTGAAATATGTAGTGGCAAACTTTATATTTCAGAATACTTCTTTAAATTAAATTCAATTATTAATTGTAGTTTATTCTAAAACATAATGTGCAAAAAATTATTTTACATTACTTTGAAAATTGAAATTTTTATATATATACCAATATATATGAAAATTTTCAATTATACACATTACATATATAATGTGCTACCTGGTATGCTACCTAGCATTGGAGGAACTACTATATATATAATGTGTTCATAAATAAATGAAGATAAAGAATAATTTTATATTTTATTCAGTTATTAATATTTGTATATAAAATCAAAATTTTGCATGACATGCTTTAAAAGTAAAACTATATGCAATGAAAATTAATTACTTTTTTTCATAAGTAATTTGTCATCACATTGATTGATTTTTCCATATCTCCATTGAACTGTCATTGATCTTATATAATAAATGCTCTTATAATTTGTTTCTGTTTAGTTTATCTACGTTGAAGAACTTATTATACTTATAACTTCTAACATTATAATCACATTATAAACTGTAATGTAGCCATTACAGAATATGTTATTAGCTATTAACTTATTTAAAAATTAGCACTTTTTTGTAGAAAAAAACTATAATGGTTAATGAAAATGAAGCCTAAAGTAAATTATTGATATATTGGTATTTACATTTCTTTCATTAATCTATAAAATAAACTTATTTATTCATATACAAATAGATTTGATTGAATGCATAAAATCACTATTTTACTGTTTTAGCTATTCCAATTTGAAATAAATTCATTTTTGAATAGTCTAGATATATGCTAGTAAAAATTATTTATCAAAAAATATCATTTGTTTTCAGTTTTTAGTCTATAATCATTGAAATACTCATGAAAAATTAGACAGTATAAGTTTATGAAATAAAATAAACATACATACATTACATAATTACAATTCCCAAGAATTTATTAATATATAGAGGAAAAAATCTAAATATAGTCTCTCCTTGACTTACTATGGAGTTATGTTCCAAAAAACACATCATAAGTCAAAAATAAATAAACCAGCAATTATTTATTGTGACATTGTCACAATGCTGGGCTGCAATTTTTAATCATATTTTTAAAATTTATTTAATTTAAAGTATATGCTTTTCACCTCAAATTAGTACTGTAGTGTCTTGTCCCTGGACATCATACTTTTCCTGTTTGCAACAGAGTCATGCCTGTCATCCATCTAACTCCTTTCAGGAGGAAAGTTTTGAATTGAAATAACAT